CGACCACAACCCAGCTTTCTGGCCCCGCAGGTTGCTGAGGTTGATCAACACGCATCAGGATTTTCAAGCCTTGCCTTTCTTTATATAAAAAGGTCATTTGGCGCCTGGCCGTCTTCATGGCTGAAACTGGACAACCAAGACCGCTCACGGCCTTCGCTCCGCCGCCTCCTCTCTGGAAACACTTCACACCGGACAACCTCAAAAGACTAGAGGAGATCAAAAGAGAGGCCTCGAAGGGGGAAGACGGCAAACCGCGTAAGAAGAAGTGGACTCCTGCTGAATTGCGCGCTCTCCATCTTCCACCAGAGCTCCGTTTCCTTGTGCCCCCGGAAATACCGAAATCGGGACACTACAGCGTCTTTGGAGAATTACAGAGTGTAGGTCCACGCATAGAAAGCGCTCAGTTGATTCGTTACTTATCATGGTTTTCAGCTATCTACGACCCTGCCGTCTTTGCAGGAGCAGGGCATTGAACAGCTCTATCCCTCAACTCCAACCGAGACGGACCCCGACAAGCCGTCGCAACCATCTCGACCGTTCAACCATGCATACTACCTTTTGAAAATCAGCAAGTCCCTACTACTAAACTTCCTTGAATTTGTCGGTATCCTCTCGATAGCCCCGGAGCAATTCCAATCAAAGGTGGAGGACCTGCGAAACCTCTTTATCAACGCCCACCACCTCCTCAACCTCTACCGACCGCACCAAGCGCGAGAGTCCCTGATTATGCTGATGGAGGAGCAGCTCAATCGGAGCCGAGAAGAGATACAACAAATGGATAAGATGCACGCGGAGATCAACGGCTTCCTGGAGCAGCTGAAAGCTCAGGGAATCGACGTAGATTTTGCGTCTAAGCCAGTCGAAAATGATAAGGCAAAGCGCACTACTAGCGATCAGGATGCCAACGGCTCTCGACTTGTCTGGGACATTGTGGACGGAACGGATTGAGGCCGAAAGTCGATCCAATATCTTCCTTGTTCGGCATAAAGCACTTGAAATGGCCTAGAGAACGGCTACACGGCCTTCTCCGACTCGCTTTTAAAGTTCAGTTCTCTGGTATTCTACACTACTGCCCTAGCGCGTGCTTGACGCTCGGGAGAAACCGTCAACTCTCATGAATGCGCGATTGTAGCGCTGCAATTGTCAATTGAGCGCCAATGCAGACAGTTTTGGCCACCCCATGGTGCAATCCGAGACCAGCCTCGGGAAACGGTATCCCAGTGCGAATACCCCAGAGTGTAGGCGGTAATTCATGGGTTGGATGCTATCATTCCTAAACTACCATGCTCCAGCTGTCTCGGGAAATCAGTTCATCCGATTGTCACGTGAAGCACCAATTTCTCGAGCTTTTAAAATCTTCCCGCGGAATTTCAGCAAACATTTCCACCTTTTTAAACCATTGCATTTTTGATCAGCATTGGATGATCGCAGTCTTATTTTATGGAGGTAGAACTGCTGATCCAGTAATGCCAATTGCTCAAAGTTGCTTGGGCGACTACTCATCATAAGAATTCGGTAAGCCTCTCTCTTTTTATTTCTTCATGGTCTCAAATGATGAATATGCCAATCTCTTTGTTTCAACCCCATATGAAAGTACAAAGTACTTCTTGATTCCATCTGTGCATTATAATCTGAAATGATGCTTGCGAAAGCTCGCTGTCTATACCGCTCAATTTCACTGCTCGACTTTGTTGATCAGTTGCTAATTTTGATGGTTTAGGTTTCCCGACTTTAGATATTCAAGTAGCAGTGGAGCGAATACAATGCAAACATCGATGTCTTTTCAATCGAGTCGTCTTTCATATTGAGAACTATATCCTGCGGATTGTATCTGACTGCGCTGCATATGTCCAGTCTACCTCTTTGCGCCCAAAACCACGTAGATTCAACCATGTCCATCGTGAGCCGCGTAGAATCATTGTAAACCGTCCGCTCAACCATAATCTATCAAGTCCCTGTGGGCCAGCACAAGTATGATCTACCACAAGTCTATCTAACCAAAATACGACGGAGTTAAGAGCCCTGTCCAGCACGCTCCTTCCACGCTTTCTCAACAGCGCACGTTGCGAACTCGTAAAGTTCCGTCACAAAATCTGCAACCATTTTCACGTGGACGACGTCGTCTATGGACATCAATTGGCGCAGAAAGACTCGTTCCATGATGGACGTTGCCGTCCGAAGCAACCCCAGGTCCTTGGTGGCTTGGGGGTCCGAGGGATTCTGCAGGATGTTGCAGAAGATTGCGATCAGAGCCGACATTGGGTAGAAGATGAGGGTCCTTGGTCGAGGGTCGAGTCAGCCCGGATACACATGAATCTATGAAAACACAGACAAAGGGGATGACTCACCAGAAAACGCCATCGACGAGAACATGCTCGGCCGACTGCAGGTAGAGCAATGTGGAGCGGCTCGCTTCGACAGAGAGAGCCAGGCTCGAACTTACTCCTTCAATCATTCCGCCCTGTCCCTGGACCCAGGATTTGCACCGACTGCTGGCTTGGTGGATTATTGTCATGCAGAGGTGGTAGTTCAGCCGCAGCATGACGGAATGCATGCTGACATTTGGATCCGGCGTCTCCTGGGAGAAAGACAGGGTAGGTCTCCATTCCGGCGGGACGGATATCCTCCACCTTTCTAGCTCGTCGTCCAGTTCGCGGATATCCTTCAGCAGCTCTGCGTCTGTTTTCTGAAGCCCTCGGAACGAGTATAGAGCGCTATAGGCTCGAGATTTGATGATGCTTAGTCGTAAATCGACTGGGAACAGCGGATGGTCTGGCAAGTCTCGGGAATGGTGGTGAATACCCAAGCTGCTGTACAGTTGCTCTACATAACCGTCGGGGAGCGTCAAGTCGCAGTTTTCGTCGGAGAGGACCTGTGGTTGTCCCGTGCGGAGAGCCACGTCCTTCTCGATCGTATAGCAAAGCCAGAAAAGGTTCCTGAGGTGCTTTTTGTTTCTCTGTTCGAGTTGCTCGGCAGGGGATGCGGGGAATGAGTTCAAGGGGCCGGGATAAGTATGGCCTCCTAGCATATATACTATCCGTGCCGCAACAGAAACGTAATAGTTTGCTGTACACAGATTTCCAGTAACTAGTTCGAAGAGCGCCTGTGCATTTGTCAGTTCTGTTGAAGTGACGATACAATACTCCGTAGAGCCACGCAGCTTGCGCGGCGACCCTCGGAATGCCAGGCCGAGCATGATCACTCACCATGATAATAAGCGCCTGGAGTCCCTCTAAGCTTGCATCCTCCCGGAGAACCTGCGGGATGAGACATTGAGCCTTGAGGGCAAGTCCCTCGCTGTCTATCGGCGGAAGGCCAAGCGGTCTATCCTTGTATTCTGGAACTTGGAGCATAGAACTAAAGGCAAGGAATGATATAATACAGGCCCTGACGTCTGCTCGCGTGGCGCTTAGACTCGAGTGGGAGTACGCGGCTTTGATGGTGTCAGAAAATAGGATGGGATCCACAATCGGAAAAACTCGTAGCATCAGAGTCGTGCGGAAGATGTTTAAATGTACTTCAACCGCATGTCGATCGGGAAGTTCAAACATGCTCTGAGGCAGCAAGCTCGTCAAATATCGGTTTGAGCTTACTGCTCGCTGTCTCTCCCATGGTGGGCGGGCATAACTGTTGAGTTGATCCTCCGAAATCTGTCGTCCTGTACGTGATTGAATCCATTGCCGGCCCTCGGGAAGCAGGAACGGGATCCTTGTCACCAAGTTGGTGACGCTTAGCTCCCGGCCGGCAAAATGAAACGTCACGGACGAGGACGACATCTGAGGCTGGCTTGGAGGTGAGGGATGTCGTGAGAAATCACGGTCCGAGCTGCCACTGCCCGGTGACACACTGGCATCTGTAAAGGGTAAGTTTCAATAGGACATATCGACATGTAGAAGGGGTGCACACCAGGTTCTTTCAGTAGACTCTCCGACAGAAGCTTCTCTATCCTGCTTATTCGCTCCGCCAGACGGGCGCTTTTCTGCTGCCTGGAGCGATATTCAGCTATGGAAGCTCAGCTAGATATCAAGAATTCCCTCTACATACGCTGGTTCACTGTTCTCTTTTCGCTTCCTCCGAATCTCCCGCTCAAAGGTGCAAGGAATATCATGGTGACTGCACCAATTACATTGTGGTACAGCAGCATCACATTTGATCTACATCGCCGTCAGTCAGTTCTCAGTGGAGACGGTTCGGCTTTCCTCCAAAGGAGTAATACCTTCCTCTTATAGCATGAATCGCATGCCCTCGCGGTCCTCCGCCGAGAGGACGGGGCCCCACGATTCTCCTCCGACGACCCCCCACCTGGCAAAACTGGAGGGTTCATCTGAGATGAGCCTTAGGGCTCTACTGGCGCACGTTAGAGACAATATTCTTCAGAATTAAAGCAGTAAAATCAGTCCCGCACGAGCCGCTGCGTTATTAGTGATGAACTATTGGAATGGCGGATATGATGCAGATAGAAAGTGTCCGAATCCCGCTGACATAAGGAGACTGGCCGGAATAGAGTAATCCGTATCACCGCTTTCTCCATTTTGTTGATATCGTTTACCCTGTATCGAGCACAAGTATACTAGATGCTAATGAAAGAAAGGACATGACCAGGTATATAAGTCGAAGACAAATAAAGATGACTGGGTGAGAATTCAGGAAAATCGGTTGTTATCTGGACATAACTTGACTGGTCCTCAATGACAACACCGGAAATGATGAGAACGGAATATATCTTAACCAAGACCGACTGTTGCAGTACCGGATCCTATCATTGAACTACCATTCCAAAAGAGATAAGCAAAGCAGGAACAGATAAAGATGATACCAAGGTAGGTGTGAAAGCCCACGACCTTCTTAGATTACAACCATGGTCCGACGTCGAATCAGAGGACTCAACGTTACCACGAAACTAAACCCTCAAACCAGGATATCATAAAGAATCAAAACGCGCTTCTTCGTAAATTGTCATGATGACCGCTAGGCCAAAATCCTGTCTGCGATCAGCAAGCATGCATCATCCACAACTTCTCCAGGGAATACTATACATCTACATCACCGTGCAAATGCAGCAATCACACGCTTCGTCCCCGCAGTCACATCCAAAGCACGGTTTCGAGACGGTCTTGATGGGTTTCTTGATGGAGGACCCGGAGGCAGAGGACGGAAGCGTCCAGTCGATGGGCGAGGAGAAGGACGAGGCGGCCATTTTGCAGTAGATGGCGTAGAGTGCTGTGACGGCGCCCGTAAAGTCAGTAAATATAACTGCAGCTATTGATGGCTCTGGAAGTAAATTGCTCAATGCAGATAGGCTCAGGCTTGCTTACTGTTGTTAATGTGACGGCTTAGCTGGAAAGGGAGAAGGCCGGGAATCAGAATCCTAACAACGCCTAAGAGTCAGGTCTGGAGTTGGACAAGCCAGGAATAAATACTTCTGACAGGCAGCTAAATTCCGGCACTAAATAAATAAAGATTCAATCAGATGAAACACTGCTCCGTACTCCAAGGAGTAAGTAACTCTGCCTATCAACCCGATATTTCCCAAGCAACAGGCCCAACGATTCGTCGCTACCTTACCGACCGTTGAGATAACCCTCCTCCACGCGTAGAACCTGGTCGAAGCATCGAAGTAGCTCTGCGCATGGTTCAGCATCCGATCGTGTCACTTGTTGACGTCGTTGTTCATCTTGCAGATCGCTACCTTATTCTGCCCCACCGCAGACGTCATTGGCAACCCGCATACAAAGTACGAAGCACCTACAATGCAGTGAGTTGTACCAGATTGTCTACAATGATAAAGCAAGAATACTAATGAGGATGGCGAGTTATATAGTCCTCTGACCAGGATAGATCTTCAAGTCCAACGATATTTACAATGACAAACTTTTCTCTCAATTCATAAATCATCGCACATACCCAAACCATGGTGTCTAATTGATTTTCTTTCCTGCTCAGGGTCTCATCATTTGGAAACAATGAGGGCGCTAACCCTCAATGCGCTCCGGGGTATCGTCTAAGAGTCATCCATAATGTCCTGCTTTTGTGGCATAGGCTCTATTCATTAAGTATTCGGTAATTTTGGTTGTGAAGTCATCAAGCCGTTAATATTCAGATGTCGTGCAAGGTGATTACAGCTGCTCAACCCAGGGAGCGGCGCCGGGCTGCATCTGGTTCAGCCACTTGACGAGCTCGATGAGCTCGGCACGGCGCTCGTCCTCAAGCTGGTCCGAATCGCCACAAAGGACAGACTGGAAGATGGGCAAGAACTGCGGCGTGAGTTCCCGGATGTTAGGATCTTCCCACTTGTCTACATGCTAGTCAGTAATGTTCTTGCTCGTTTCGAATAAGGCGGGATCACATACACAGCTGGCAGATCATGCGGTACAGGGGCTCGTTCTCCTCGTAATCGTTCTTCAGGGGGAGGATGGAGACGAGAACGGGGAGAACCTCCTTGAGAGGGATAGCCTCACGGTGTTTGAGGATCATACGGCTGAGACATCCCGTAGCGTTGTCCTGAAGGCGAGAGACCTTCATCTGCAGACAGGACTCCAACCGGGAAAGGATAGTAGGGTACTCCTTGACGATCTCAGCGTCTGCGGTGGAGTGCTCGACAAGACGGCCAACAGCATAGGCCGCATTGGACTTGGTCTGAGGATCCTCATCGCCCAGGCGGTGAATGAGGAGCTTCAGGAAAGAACGCGTGAACTGAGTGACACCAGCCCCCATACCGTTGATGCACTCGGCAAGGACTCCAACGGCGGTGGCACGCTCCAGAGCCTCAGTGCTACCAGCGTAGCGCAGGATGGTCTTCTCAAATACCTTCCAGAGTTCGGCGAAGCTCCCGCCCAGAGCGGCAGCGAGACCGGAAACAACATCAAGGGCAGTGTCAACAACAACCCAATCGAACTCGGAAGACTCCTCACCGGCCTCGAGAGACTCCTCTTCGGGGCCAAACTCGAGCTGGCAAGGGTGCTTCTTCGTGATGATGTCGGTGACCATCTGGATGACGTTGTGGAGAGTGGTCTCGTTGGCAATCAGAGAAGGGCCGCAGTAGCGCAGGTTCTCAGCCATGTTACGGTTGATATCGGCGACAGTAGCCCTATGTCCAATGGTCAATACCAATCAAAATTTTGACAAGAAAACATTAAGAGCAGTGAAATCAAGGCCTCAGTTTCGTTGGAAAGAATCGTGTTTCACATCACGTACGCATTTTGCGCGTCTGAGTGAGCTGGGTAAACGAGTGGGTTCATCATTGGAATTGGCATGCTCGTGCAAAGCAGCCATCGTGTAACATGCAAAAAGAGAAGAAAAAATGAATATACATACCTATCATCTTCCTCAGTCCACATCTTGATGGTAGCGGTCATCAGAATTTCGCCGAACTTCTTGACCTCCTTGGCGGGCTCGACCTGCAGAGGCAGACCCGGCTTCCACTTAGCCATCTGGCCGGTCTCTTCAGCAATAGCAAAAAGCATGGCGTACGAGCGGTGCAGAGTGCTGATGGTGCTGCGACGAACACCCTCGTAAGGGTGCTCAGCCAGAGGCAGGACCTGCTCAATTGTCTTCTCGAAGTAAGGCAGGTAGGCGCTCTTAGTGTGCGTGACGAGATCGCCAATGACCTCAACGGCAATTTCCTTCTCCAGAGACAACGGGGTGGTGGCGGTGATGTCGTCCCAAGCATCCTCGTCGAGATCAACGTCTTCGATGCCGCCATCCTCTCCGACGGGCTCATCATCATCGTCGGCACTGGCAACCTTGACCTTGCGGCCGGCGATGATCACCTCCTGGCCAACAAGGTCCTTGGCGGCCTCACCAAGAGATACGTCCAGGTCAGTCTCGTCTTGCTCAATGCAAGCGAAAAGGCCCTTGACCACACCATCAAGGAAGGGAGCGAAGTGCTCTCCATAAACCTTGGACATGGCTCCCCAGAAGATGTACGTGCTCTCCTTGAGACGAGAGTGGTCGAGGTGAAGTGCCTCCTCGGTGGCGCGCATGAGGGGCTCGACGTAGGGTTGGTAACGCTCGGCACCAGCGGCAGCGGACATTTCACCCATCGCGTCAGTGACACTAGCGCGCAGGTCCAGTTCCTCCTCACTGTCCTTGACGGTGGCAAACTCCTGCAGGAGATGCATGGACTCGTCGAAGTAGGGGAGGAAAGACTCGCCGGCGGAGGAGGCAAGGGAGCCCAGAGCTCCAGCAGTCAGGCCCTTGATTCTGAAGTCGGGGTGCTTGAAGAGCTTGTGCAGGATGGGAACAAGCTCGCCCTGGTAAGGAGCGACGTCCTTCTCGTCCAAGCCATCAACAACGGCATCAATGGCACTGATACCGGCCTTCATGATATCGACAGTGGGACCATCCTCTTCACCCTTGTACTCCTGCATAGCGCTGGCCAAGTTCTTGAAGAGCAGAGGCATGAGCTTTTCGTGCTCAGCACTCAGGTCTTCAGCAAGGTCATCGGCAAGGCGAGCCACGGCGTGCAGGGAGGCTTGGCGGACCTTGGGTTCGGGATCAGCGAGGAGCTGCAGAACCATGGGGAAGATGTCCTTCATCTGAGTGCTGATGAAATCAGGAGCGCCCTCAACACACATTCCAAGAGCCATGATACCGGCACGGCGGTAGTCAGGGTTGCTGTTGTTGAAGTACTGACCCAGGGCGTGAAGAAGGGGCACAACAACTTGGCTGGGAGGTAGACTCTGGGCGAGCATATCAAGCAAGCCGAGAGCGGACCGGGCGGGAGTGATATCGTCATCGTCCGAGGAAGCATCACCGAGCTCGGTGACGATGTGCAGGGCGGTGCGGGTGAGCTGCTCGCCAATACGCATGCCCTGGATCTTGAGCTTACGGTACTGAACGCACTGCATGAGGAAGCTGATCGCCTGAGTACGAGTATCCTCGTCAACCTCGGTGTTGGCAGCAAGCTCGTTCATGAAGATAACCAGGTCCTTAAGGTGGACAGTCAGGAGAGCAGGGTCACAGCCAAGGAGAGTCTGGAAGACCTCAAAGGCCTGCATTACACGGTCCTCCTGCTTCTGGTCGATCGAGTCCTTCAGAACAGCGACCATGGAGGGAACGATATCCTGGAAGGCCTTGACTGGAGCAACATCCTCCTCGGAGTCAAGGTGCATGGCGAGCTTGCTCAGGGCGAGAAGGGTATTGATGCGGACTTCCTCGCTCTCAGGGTCGCGGATGGTCTTGTTGAAGAGGGCAAAGAGATCCGAGAACTTCTCCTCGAGGCTCTCACCTAGAGTCTCCAGAATGGTGAACAGAATGTAGATAGCCACGCTACGCTCATCCTTGTTGCCACTGTTACCAGCCTGCACCAGGAAATTGGGGAGCTCGGCCCACTCGCCATCGTTCAGGTCGACCCGAGCGATGGCAGAGATGATCCGGGCAATGGAGTGACGGACGAGTGAGGAGCCCTCGTTCATCGTGGAGCGCAGCAGCTGCTCACGGATCTGAGGCTTCTGGGCACCCTGGACCGAAACCCAGTGCTTGTTGACCAACGAGCGAGACTCGACAGCGGCAAGCTGCCTCAGATTGGGATCCTCATGACCGGTGGCGATCTGAATAAGGAGAACGAGAGACTCAGGCTTGCTGTAGAACTCCCGCTGAAGGATACCAGTTGCTTCCTTAACGTTGCCCTGGGCAGCTATTGCGTTCTCGTCAGCATCAGGCCCTATCTTTCCAAAGCCACTCGCCGGGTTAATGGGTGTTACTCACGGTTCAGAACAATCTGAAGCTGCTGCAGGAATCTTTGCTGGTCCATGATGGAAAATATGAATAAAACTTTGTGGGAAAAAATATGTACGTCTCTCAAATGTGGGGTGTCACAACCCTTCTTTAATAGCAAGAAGGGATCCTTGTAGGACTAATTGAGCTGCCTGCACGGAGACAAACAGCTCAACGGGGTATCACAGAAACAAAAGAAAGGATAGAAACACCAAGGAAAGGAATGAGGAGTAAAGGAAAGGAGAGATGAGGGACACTCAGGAGAAGAAGATAAGAAGAGGGAAAAAAAAAAAGTTCTCACTAAGGGGTGGGCTGTTTGGATAATTTTTCTCATGGTCCCTCCGCTTTTACTTCCTTCAGCCTAGCGGCATTTGCTATCACGTGGTCTGTTCCGCTCTGGTTGATCATAAACGGTGGATGCACCACAACAAAAAAAGAGCGGCTAGTTAGTAGGCAGGTAAGAAGTGCCAACCGGCTGGAGAAAGGTCGCTGCCCAACTAAGGACCAATAGAATTCAAATGGGGTTCGCATTTCCAGGATGGTCTTGATACAGAAGGTTGTGCGTTGTCTGTCTGCCATGAGGTAGATAGCACAGAGAATGATGCCAGTAAATGGTGTTATTGACTGTCATATTATCATATCACCATGTGTTTATAGTACTCCACCAACTATCGTCTATCAGCTACTAGTATATAGTTGAATGAAACTCTAGAGTTTCAGGCTGAAGTACGACGAACCAGCAAGAGGTATCAATAAAATTTGAGCAGCAAAAGTCAAGAATTTTGAACCAACCCCGCATAATCCTATACTCCATCTCTTCTCCGAAAGATGCATCAAAATTCCTCAAGAGAAATGGCATGGATTCCAAATAAAGATGCAAAATGCGCATAGTTCAAAACTATGGTTAGAGCCAGCATCGTCCATACTGTAAAATCAAGCGAAAGACACGCCATGGCACCATGTAGAGCATCGCTAGAATTCTTCAGAGTCGTAATCTTCGTCAACAAGCAGGGCGCGATAACCCCTGGATGCAAGGTTTTCTTCCAAACCACCGCCGGATCCAGGATCGGCATAGCCTAAATTATAGTTAGACAAGCAGGAATTTGGGGAGAACGATTCAAAAGACGGAACCGGAATAAACTTACCTTCGCCACCAAAGTAACTGAGAACCACAGGCAGGAAGATGAGGGCATGGGTAGCGGCAAAGATGACCAATGCTAGCCAGACACGGAAATAGTAGATTTCAAAGATCTTGCTGCGGGTGAACGCCAGCACACAGACCCCGAGTAATTTGGTGATAGTGATACCGCAGAAGACACTGCCACCCACATTGACCAATGCAGTCCAGGCTCGTGCGTCTTTGCCTCGGAACTTGGTTGGCGTCTTGTCCATTATTGTGCGTGAAGGGAACATGAATGCTCGAGCAATATGGGCGCAGAACTCGACACCGATGCCGACGCAAATAACCAGGTTGACTAAGGAGACGGCGTTGAGGGACACCCCAGCAACGGCCATGGAGCCAATAATATCCACAACAATCATCACGACTGTAGCAGTTACTACCGCACCGGTGGCGACAGAGCCTAGGATGATTGACGTGATAGCGAAGATAATGGCAACAGCACAACCGAGCAAAGTGCCTGTGAGCTGCACGATCGAGACATACTGGTCGAAGAAGATGTACGGTTTGGAATAAGGGAACACGTCTATGCCGTGTTCTTTGGAGATCCCATCCGTGATGCGACGGGCTGAGATGTACGCCTTGATAAAGTCATCCTGATTCCTCAGAGGGGTATGGCTGGTTCTGAAATGGCTCGCCTTGGTCATGACGTGCTTTGGATCGATGACAAGCGCGTTACTGTAAGGGGCTTTGCCGCCGAGAGGGCAAGACGCATCCGTGGGTGCTTCAATCCATTTCTCTAGATAGTGGATGAATTCGTTTCCTGTGGGCATGCCGTAGAGAGAGATATTCCATGCAGGGGTCCGGTCCTCAAAGCAGATCTTCTCGTTTTCCTTGCAGCATTCTTGCTGGGGATTCAGCCAATAAAAGAAGTCGTCGATCCAACTTGCGGCCGATCCTGAGATATAGGAGACATTCGGTCGCTTAGACTCCTGCTCCAAAACAAATGACAAGGAAAATTCTTCGCAGGTCGTGAACCGCCCGCAGAGCTGCTGCTGGTGGTTTCTCTCGGTCACGTTGACTTCGCGGGTCACAAAGTAGACTGGAGGACCGGTACCAAAGTAAGCATCTAGGTCATTAAAATACTGTACTAAATATGAATCACTCGGAAGAGCGATACGTTGATCCAATCCGAGAGACACCTCCGGGATCAGAGCCAAGCCAGCAGTAAATATGCCGAGGAAGACAATCACAACAGCAACCTTAATCCTGCGGTCAAGCAGATAGTTTGCATATATTTTGCGAATAAATTGCTGCGTCAGACTTTCGCCCTCCTGGTCATTGTAAGGGGGTTCTTCGAACATGCCGGATGAAGTCGCTTTGCGCACTGTAATGCATGGAATGCAATCTGCACGAAGGCTCTCCACCCGCCTTTGGTTCAGAGCAAGTACTGAAACAAACATCGTCATTTGCAGAATGGCATTGATGAACACAGCGCCAGCTGCATAGATTGCAAAGTTCTTGACGGCAGGCATGCCCACAAACACACCGAGCGCAAAGGCGACCGTCTCAGTCAGGGCCGATAGGAAAATGCTGGGACCAATCCTCCCTACGGCACGGGCAACCCGCTCATCAATCTCTTCATCAGGGTGACTGACATTTATCCGCTCAAATTCATGAACGATCAGGAAGATGTTGTCCACACCGACGGCCAACACAAGGAAGGGAATGACCTCGGCGATGATCAAGGTCACCCTAATTCCTGCTGCTGAAAACAGTCCTACTGACGCAGACACAGACATTAGGACGATCAAGATTCCCACGATTCCGAGCGTGAATTTCGACTGCACAAAGACATTGGCAGGGTTATTCAAGAGAGACTTCCAAGTGACCGTGGCTGATCCTAGAGCAAGGGACGCATAGATAAACATGATGATATAGCTAATGACGACAATTTTCGCATCGGTGTTGCTGGATTTATTGAGTTCCTGCTCCAGGCTGACTTCAGTGTTGAATGACACACGAAGACCACGTTCTTTCGCGTCTTCTTGAACGTTATATAACAGCTGCTTGAGATTGTTTTCCCAGTCAATGGCATCGGCCTCGCTCTCCGTACCTTGTGCGTGATTGTTCAGAACCCACGTGGTAATCAACGCTTGAGCGTCGAGGACGTTGCCGGACTCTTCGTAACCACCCAGTATCATTTCAGGTCTGAGAGGCTGTTGAAAGTCAGGGAGACAGCTCGGGTCACCAGGAGAGCTGGCACAGTGCTTAACCCGCTCCTCCCATGTGTCCGGGTGGAGGTTCCATCCTGAGCCACCGAAATAGCCCGTTATTGACTGAACCACACATGCGTCGCCAGTGGGTTTAAAGCAGACGTCATCGAGTAGTAAGCTGCGACCCGGAGAGAACATTCGACGAATTTGAGATTCAACATCAAACCACCAGCTGAGGGTGTCGTAACTCAGAACCGGTCCATGTTCGTTGACAACAAATACCTGCTCAGCTCGGTAAAAGGGTCCAAAATTGGTATCGAAGTACTCCTTCTCTTGCGCTGCCGCCGATGTAGGGCTCACCCAGAGGCGTACAGGATCTGTCTCGACAGTGAACCGGAGCCACCCCAGACTCAGAAGGCCAACGAGCACTATGCTAGTTACAATAGTGATGGCTGGGAATCGAGCGCAAGTACCTCCAATGCTATTGAACATTGAGTCGAGCATAGAGTTCACTTTGTAAACACCAGAAGGTTGCTCCAGCGACCCAGCAGCATGAACAATATCGCCCTCATCTTCATCGTCATCGGGAGATGGGTCTTGTAAGAGCCGGACCCTCTCGGGCTTGCGATAACGCCGTTCTCTGTACGTGAAGTAACTAGAAAGGGCCACGACGGCTAATAAGAATACGGAGTAAATCAGAATGACCGCGAAGGACAGACAAGGCAACAGGCCGACATGGCAGTATTTGTCTGTTTTCACCTCGGGTAGCTCCGGGCAGACTTCTGGACAATCAACACAGGAGCAGCGGAATGCCTCTTCAGGGCCATTGCAGGCCTTCGGTTTGATAGGCAAGGCTCTCATGCCCTGATCGGGTGACGGGGGCTCTGTTTTGTAGTTGATCTGGAAAGGACTTCCAAGCAGCTTCTTGTCACCCAGGAACTTCAGGAATTGTGTGTAATTCTTCGCGCCTCCGCCGATGAAGTCGATGGCTTTGCCACCAGAAGCGCCATTTTTGACGTTCTTGCAACTATCATAGAAGCCGCTCTGGTATTCTTCGGACCAGATATTGTCAAGTTCAGTAACTAATAACTTGCCGGAGCTAGCCTTCTCGGTTTGTGTGACATTGATGAACAGAGATTGGTCCGGAGAACAGGTAAAGGTACAGAAAATGTTGAAGAAATTGTCTTTGCAGGCAGGACATGATGCAATAATGCCCTCTGCAAGCTTCAGGTTCTTGGCGAGTGCATCGATCTAGGCAGGCGAAGCACATGAGAATCGTCTCACTTGAAAGGGTTGCTTGGAACATTAACTCTTACCTGCTCTTTTTCGCAACAAACGGGCCCTTCATTCCATTTGCTACCACACAAGTCCACCAGCTTCTTTCTCACCGATACCTCGGGATCCCTTGCAGGACCATTATCTGGACATGGCAGCTCTCCGCCGAAGAACGACTTTTTCCCGCAATGTCCTCGGATCGCACAGCGGCCCTCTTCGTGTACCTCGGTTTCTCCTTCGGCAACGACAAGTGTGTGAGAAAGGAACGAAAGCAGGCCCAGACTCGTGAGGATCGGGGTGAAGCGAAGTCCCCTCATCGTTCAACAAAGGGTTGGGATGATTCCGGTCAAACACGTAGGTTTTTCGCGGTATAGTCAGAGCATTAGAAGGACGATTAGTCGCGTAGGAAGGTGCTGAGAAGCTAGA